AAGGACCTGGACCTCTGGAACATTCACAGTCTGAAGGTAGAACTCTGGTCATTTGGTACTTCAGATACAGAACCAGGTGTTCTGAGGAGGTCCAGTTGATGTGCTGGTTGACGGTCTGTCTGAGCTTCTCTTCTCGTCTGAACTGATGAACACAGGAACACATACTGAGGTGAACACGACTCAGACAGTGTTCTCTGCATAGCTGAACAGATCCTTTCCCGTCCAGAACTTATTCCCTGTGGAGCTGCCAGTGGTCACTCGGCCCGCCAGTCTGTAGTGGTTCTGCTGCTGTGGCTCCTCCTGGGCCTTAACGAGGACTGTCCTGAGGATCTCTAATCCGGCGGCTGCAGACGGAGCAGAACTCTGGAACGCAGCAGCCTCTTCATCAGCAGCTCATTGTGACGCTGAGCTCTGGCCAGCCGCAGGGTTCTGGCCCGGCTCCCAGCCAGCCCGGCTAATTAGTCCCCTCTTCTGAGCTAATTGGCCGATAAAAAACGAGGACGGCCTCTTCACCCAGCCGAGTGTCACCACACGGCAGCAGAGGATTATGTGGCTTAAGAGTCCCGGTGACACTCAGAACCACTCCACGGCTGTAACGGGTCTCAGAGCCACACAGGAGGCTCCGGAGCCGGTCCAGCTGCAGACCCACCTCCTGAACCTGCAGCTGATCCTGCTGCGGATCCTGCAGCTGACCAGAAGCTCCGACACGTCCAGCGGTTCTGGACCGAAGGTTCCAGATCTGAGGTTTCCATGACAACCTGCTTCAAACATCAAGTTACAGCGAAAAGACACAAAAGTGTCTGAAGAGGAGCGACAACAACACACACAACACACAACAACACAACAACACACAGACACACACACACAACACACACACAGACACACAACAACACACAGACACACACACACAACACACACACAGACACACAACAACACACAGACACAACAGCACACTTCAACACATGACACACACAGACACACAGAGACACACAGCAACACACTTCAACATATGACACACAACAACACAGACACACACACACACACAACAACACACACTACACACACACACAGACACACACAACAACACACACAAAGACAGACACACACACACACAGACACCCACTCTGGATCAGAACCAGCGCTGGAAGCAGCTGAACGAGTTTAATGAGCAGAAAATAAAAACTGTTCATCAGGAAGAAAAACGGATTTAAATATTTAAATGAAAAGCTTCAGAACCAGAACCGACAGAAGTGAATAGAAACTGATTCGTTTCCTGCAGATCTCAGGTTTCAGAATCAGAACCCTCCGAACATCACATTTATCGATCTGATGACAGAAACAATCAATAAAGTCGATCAGCTGTGAGCAAACGGAGGACCGCGTTGGTCCCGGTTCTGCTGCTCCGGGTCCGTGTACCGGGGCTCTCCGGTCCAGTCCGGCTCTGAATGGTTAAATCCCGAAGCCCCGCCTCTTCCGCCACCTCCAGCCGACCAATCAGCGGCCGCGGCGCCTCGGTGGGACGTCACGTCAGCTGCCGTCGTGTCGGTGGAATGTTACCGAGCGACCGTCGGAACAACTGAGCACTCGGTACCCGGAGCTCGGATCCACGAAGCCCGTCTTTCGGAGCCGTTTGTCGGTTTGTTGCGCGGCGCCGTCGGCCGGTAACCGGAGCCGCTGGTCCTCGTTGGGCGGAGGAGACATGCAGGGATTCGTCCGGTTACTGGGGGACCTCTGAGCTGCTCCGCCGACAACCGTCCCCGGATTCTGCTGCTCCGCGCCGGGACCATGGAGTGAGAGGAGCGGGCCGGAGGACCAATTCACCCCGAGGATCCGGAGCCGACGCGCCGCCGCCCGGTCAGCGGGTCGCCGAGTTCCCCTCCGCCCCGGGCTGCACCTCCGCGGCGGCAGCCTCGGGGAGCCGCGCCGCGCCGCGTCCGGGGAGAGGCAGCTCTCCGGCGGACAGCTTTCCGTCGGAGCCCGGTGGATGATGGAAGCTCCGACATGGTGAGAGTGAGCAGCGGGAGCCCCGGACCGGACCCGTAGTCGCCCACATGCGCTGGATCACTCGCTGGATTTGGGAACCGAATACGCAGAAGGAGGCAGCCGGAGGATGGAGCGGAGCCGCCGGGGCTGGTGAGAGCCGCACTTCGGGCCACTTTCCGTTTGTTCTTCGTGCACAGCTCGCCCCCGCTCCCCGGACACATGCAGGCCAAGAAACGCTACCTGATCCTGCTGTGCGCGGGCGCGTGTGTGCTGCTGCTCTCCTTCCTCGGGGGGGTCCAGCTGCCGGCGGCCAGCGGCGGCCGGCAGGACCGCAGCAGGACCGGGCACCGGCCCGACCAGCCCTGGCCGCACTTCTCGGACCCGTTACACCCGTTCGTGCCGTGGGACCACACGGACACGGAGGAGTACAACGTGCACGTCTCTCCGCGGCAGAAGCGGGACGTGAACACGAGTGTTTACAAAGGCAGACGGTGCCGGATGGACTCGTGCTTCGACTTCTCGGTGTGCCAGCGCCGCGGCTTTAAGGTGTACGTGTACCCGCAGCAGAAGGGCGACAAGACGTCGGAGAGCTACCAGAACATCCTGGCCGCCATCGAGGGCTCCCGGTTCTACACCTCCGACCCGGGACAGGCGTGTCTGTTCGTGCTGAGCCTGGACACGCTGGACCGGGACCAGCTGTCTCCGCAGTACGTCCACAACCTGAAGACCAAAGTGCAGAACCTGCCGCTGTGGAACGACGGCCGGAACCACCTGATCTTCAACCTGTACTCGGGCACCTGGCCGGACTACACGGAGGACCTGGGCTTCGACATCGGCCAGGCCATGCTGGCCAAGGCCAGCATCAGCACCGAGAACTTCCGGCCCAACTTCGACGTGTCCATCCCGCTGTTCTCCAAGGAGCACCCGCGGACCGGCGGGGAGCGCGGCTTCCTCCGGTACAACTCCATCCCGCCCTTCAGAAAGTACATGCTGGTGTTCAAAGGGAAGCGCTACCTGACCGGGATCGGCTCGGACACGCGGAATGCCTTATATCACGTCCACAACGCGGAGGATGTGGTTCTGCTGACCACCTGCAAGCACGGGAAGGACTGGCAGAAGCACAAGGACGCGCGCTGCGACAAGGACAACGCGGAGTACGACAAGTAAGTGACAGCTCACAAGTTCGGCTGCAGGGAGAGTTCTGTTGGTGCTGTTTTCACGCTTTTACGCACCGAGCCTGTGCGTAAAGAGGCGCCATCACATCCAAATTACGCACCAGGCGGTCACAGGGTTTGTGCATTATCTAGTGTGTGTGTGTGTGTGTGTGTGTGTGTGTGTGTGTGTGTGTCATTCAGGTGTGTTACAGTGAAAACACAGTTTTGTGTCACAGCTCCTACTGTTTGTTCTTTCAGTGACAACCATCAGTTCGGTGCAGGTTTCCTGTTTCTACCTGCACAGTGACGTTTGTCACATTCTGAACTGGAGCTTTGATCCAGATTTACACCAGAACTCTACATATTTTACTGCCTGTTGACTCTCAGTGACTTTAAGCCTCACGCTGACCTCAGACTGAAGCTTTATGTGGTTTTAAACTCTTTATGGCGGCTGGTTGACGCCTCCACTCCACCTCTCTGCTCCTTTTCCTGCATAAAGCCACAGATCCTCAGTGTTTTCTCCTGGTCTAATGAAGGAATTCTCCTCCTTCGTAGCAGCTTTGAGGATCCGTACGGACACGTCTGATTTGCAGCCTGTACTTAGTGAGAATGAAGTGAAAGTTTCTGCTCCCACGTTCAGATCGTGACCTTGTGCAGGTTCCCACAGCAGGCCGAGGTGTGCAGCGCGGTCGGCTGGATCACACAGCGATTTAGTGCAAATAAATCAGTCAGAATGGGTTAATTAGCACTTTAATTTGCAGGAGTTGGTGCCGTGGGTTCCATGTGGCCCCCAGGGACAGCTGATTACCTCTCATTTTGGAGGTCTCCGTTTAGTCAAGGTGGTAATTAATGATTCCGCCTTGGGATCAACAGCTGTACTCTGGAGCTCGGTGTGTTTTAATGTGGAGGCCGTGTTGTCTCTGCTGCACATACTTGGATTACAGCTGAACTCTGCTGTCAGGTTCACGCGTCTCTGAGTGACACCGGCTTAATCTGCATTTATCAACCTGTGGATTCTAGAATTTGTTGAGCCTGAATAAACTGGCGGCATGTGAGAGGTGGACATTGTTCCCGCTGGGCGCGCACCTGAGTCAAGGTTAGAGCGCAGGACAGATGGGCAGCATATGGAGCGTTAGCATACTTCAGCCAGTCACTCAGGAGGAAGTTTGAAGCAAACACTCACAGACACTTTCCCTGAACTTGGCTTGAACTCGGGAACCTCGAGCTGCTCGCAGACTCACAGCTAAAAGCATCGCTGAGAAAGCCGCACAAGCATGCACTTGTCTATCCATTCGTCATCCTTTCCCCTCTCCCTCCGCGCTCCGCCGTCCTCCCCCTCCGGCTGCTGGATGCCTTCGGCTCGGTGTCACCTGCACAGATCCTCCATCCATTATCTGACATTCCAGTCGGCTGTGGTCGGCCCACCTCGGCCCGCCGCCGCTCTGCTTCCCGGCGGATCAGGCCTTGTTTTCCCAAAGGTGGCTTTGTCTCGGGAACATCTCGGTGCCGTAATCAGATGATGGCAGCGGTTCAGGGAAACCGGAGCCTCTCTGCCCACAGTTTCCACCGCCGCGTGTTTCACAGCTGAGTTATTCTGATCAATACCGCTGCCTGTTAGTCATTTCATTCCCGGCATCGATGCTGGATTTGATTTCCGTCCCCACCGAAGCTCGATAAATCCAATTTCACTTCCACACAACTCTTTTACTGTGTTTAGCTTTCGCCTGTGCGTCTTTTGCGCTCCGCTGTGAACCAGATTTGACTTTTCAGAATTGATTTGTGCAGGTTGCGACCTGCGCTCCGGCTGCTCCACGTCCCGGTGCGAAGCGTCAGTTCCTGTTGGGACTCTGTAGATTTAATCACACACATGAATCCTGAAGCTCTGAGGCTGCAGAGGCCCGACGCGGCTCTCAGGTACGTGGATGTGGATGCAGCTGAGGGCGGACAGTCGATGCCTCGCGGCGACGCTGCAGCTCCGACTCAGGAATGCGCACACGTGTCGCAGCAGCTGTTGCGGAGGAGCTGCACAGGACGTGTACATACCTGGATGCACAGACTCATGCAGCTGAACTCAGAGGACGAGATAAAACACAAACACCACATTTAGATGTCTGCAATCCACACACACACACACACACACACACACACACACTGCTGACCTCCGACCTGCAGCTTCCACAGGAATGCGGCCCTGCAGAGGAATGCAGCAGCAGCAGGAGGCCGACTGGGAGCCTTGTGTGGGTTTGTGGGTCTCTGGACTGACTCCCACACACACACACACACACACACACACACACACACATTTGTTCAATTGATTTTCTTAGCTGCAACAGCTCTGAATTGGAGTCACTCTGGTCCACTTCCACAGTCGAGTGCTGATGAAAGGCTCCATTCACTGCTGCATTATCCGCCGGGCTTCAGGCTGCTGACAATAATCCTGCAGAGGACAGTGAAGGATCATTACGGCCTCAACAATCCCAAATTTCACATTGGGAGGAAGTTTTGAGTGAAGCTCAGCCTCGTGCTGAAGCACGTTTCTCTGGAGATGTGACGGTTTTTAGTTGTTTTTTTTGATGCAAACTTGTGTTTGGGTGCCGACGAGCCTCATGAATGTGGGCCAGCGCTGAGCGTGCTCACTGAGCTCGCTGCTCACGTTGTCCTGCACACAACGTATAGTTTTATCATGTATCCCGAGTCGCTGGCTGGAGGTGCGCCATGAGGCCGAGTGTCCGTTGGAGTCCGGCTGCAGCTCCACTTAAAGCTCTGACAGCAGAGTCATCGTCCCCGTTTAATACTTAACCAGCTCTGTTGACTCAGTGACTCTGTGCTTTGGCTGCTTCACAGCAGCTGCAGCTCAAGGTCAGGAGGAGGAGGAGGAGGAGGAGGAGGTTGATGAAGTCCAGAATCGCTGCATGTTGTTTCTGTGACCGTGACTTTGGGCCGCGGCGGCGTTTCCGTCCTCCTGGTCAGCAGAGCCGTCCCTCCTGAGGCGCTTCCTGTCCTCCGCTTCATGTTTTCGTGCCTTTCTTCCTCCTCTGGTGGAAGCAGAGCTGTGATTTGGCTCGAGGAGGCTCTTTGCCACTTTTCCATTCTGGTTCTTTGCCTCCATGACGCGGCGCCGGTTGGCCCGTTGTTGACAGCAGCGGTCCGGGCCAAGTGGAGGCGTCTCTGCTGCTTATCTCAGAGAAACACGGCTCTGAGGCGCTCACCTGGGCGGCGGCGGCGCCCGATAGCGGCGTCCCGGAGCCGGTTTGGAGAGCAGAGCGCGTCGCCGTCACACTCCGGGTCGCCATTGTTTGTTTCTCTGTAGTCAGATTAATAAGTCATGAATATTTCATGATGGCCTGCTCCCGCTCAGATAAAGCTGCTGCTGATGGAGAATGTTAATGATGGAGGATAATTAGTGTGAATGCGGCGCCGCTTAATTAGGACTCTTTGATATTTTGCTGCGTTCATGTGTGTCAGAGACACGTTGAGGCCCAGAACCACTCCAAGCCTCCGTCTGCTGTTGTATCTCATCACCACGTTCATCCATCAAACCGTCTGAGCTGCTGAAGCTCCACATCCTGAGCCTCAGACGTTCAGCATCTCATGTGCTCAACTCTGTCATACTTGAAATCCGTTTTTTGGCAGCAAACAGCAGTTGCTAGCTTCATTATTTAATCTACAAAACGTCAGAATAAGCAGTTATGAGCATGTGTGGTCTGCTGGTTCATCAGGAGGACGGGTCTTCTGGACTTTATCTTCTGCAGCTCATCTCAGGTCCGTCTCAGCTGCAGCAGGTCTTTATGTCCTCGTCCCAAACCAGCACAATCAAGTTCAATTCAAATCTCAGGAGGGTTTTCAGTAAGTTGCCTGTTTGTTTGCTTCTCGTCGCATGTTTTCGTGCCTCAGCGATCTAAACCTCCGTCCTGCTCTCAGCTGAGGCCGTCAGCGGCTCAAACGATCCTCCGTCAGGCCGCCGTCAGTATTAAAATGTCAGCAAACGGTGAAAGATGCAGATCTGCAGCTTCCAGAGCCTCGGGCCAAATCTTCAGATGTTTTATCCAATCGATGGTCCGAACCCCAAAATATCGAAGAGATGAATAAAACCAGAGATGATTATTAAACCGTTAATCCGTCATCAGCTCGTCAGTTTGCTTCTGCTGAAAACACATTCAGCCAGAACCAGGTTCTACGTTCATGTTCTGGTGAAGCACTGACAGAGTTCAGCAGAGACGGCGTCTCAATCAAACACACAGATAACGCAGCAACTTCATAAAGAAACAGAAGCGATGAAATGTTCTCAGCGTGCAGCCTGAACGTTCTGCAGCGTTTAGAGAAAGATCAGAACCCACCAATAGAAGAGAAGGTTTGGACCAGTTTGTAACACACATAGTGAACATCTAGAGCAGTGATGTTAAAGCTGCTGGTTGAGGTTTGATCAGATTCTTCAGTTTCTTCACTAGCAGAGAAATGCAGATGAAAGCTGGACGTCCAGCGCTGACGGACACCTGAACCTGCGTTTTACACTTAATTAGACGACTTCAGTCGCCAACATGCAGCTGAATTAAGCTTCATTTTAATGGTTTAAGTTGTTCTTAAATGATTTGATTCCTCTCAGACGAACTTCATTTGAATGAACGTGAAGGTTTCCAGCATTTGATTCTGACAAATCTAAAATGTTCTGTTCTTTCCACTTTATTAATAGTTGACAGAAATAGAGGCTGAGCAGAGAAAAGAAACACAGAGAAGAACCAAACCGGGCCTTCTGCTCAAATTCCAGTTTACTGGGACCAAATTAAACGTATATATGTGTGTGTGTGTGTGTGTGTGTGTGTGTGTGTGTGTGTGTGTGTGTGTGTGTGTTTATATTTCCATATATATATTTATATTTTCACACGTCCTTTACTTCCTGTTTTCTGCTGAAGGCAGCGTGTTGGAGCAGCGTCGGGTCTTTGTGCTTCAGTCTTTGTCTTCATCATACGTGACCGTGTGAACACGCCGTGTGTGTGTGTGTGTGTGTGTGT